AAGTCTCTCTACATCACTCCAAGCACTTATTCCAGCAGTACACTTTGTTTGGGAATACTTTCATTGCATGATAGAGCTTATACAGGGTATAGTTGCTCAGATTCCTTTAATTGCTTAGAATGCAGTTAGCATGTACATGTGTTTAGTGTAAAAGAGAAATATTTGAACTTTTTTCTCAAAATATTTATCAGTTCAGGCACACAGTCATGCTAAAATATCTATACATCATAATTTCTGGAGGCAATTCGGGCATCCCAGTTCTATGCTCCGTTAAATATTGCATTTCCAGTGAACACTCCAGTTCATTATAGTTGTACCATAGGTTTAGAACAATAGAAAATAAAAATCCAGAAATGTCCCTCCCTCCCACCACACACACATAGGTGTTAGTTAAAAGAGTAAAAGTAATCACTTCAAGTTTAAATATGTAAAATAATACTATTCTTCATCCCTCTTCTATTTTGCTTCTTAATAGTGTGGGTAGTTGATACTGTCACACTCTATTCACAGTATTAAAATGAATGTTGTACAGAAAAAACACAAACAGGTTTTCTTTGAGTTAGCTTGATTTGTTAGTGAGCTATTTATGGTTTGTCCCAGACCTTACCAAAATAATGAGATAATTTCATAAGCTGCACTGTATCAGGTTTACTAAGTTTGATTTTTACTTTCTTCTTTCTCTCACTACCAGGAGGCATTTTTGAGTGTGTGGAATCTGGCCCAATGGGAGCAGAAGAATTAGCCTTCAGATTTGCTGTGAACACAATCAACAGAAATAGAACTCTTCTGCCGAACACCACATTAACATATGACACCCAAAAGATAAATCTCTATGACAGTTTTGAAGCATCCAAAAAAGGTAACCTTTTGCATATTTAATTTTTTTAATGAGCAAGTAAGACTCACCTAGTTTACCTACCTGAAAAAATGTCTGTTCAATAAAGCCATGTGCAGTGACACTGTACAAGTTTGTGGCTGATATCAAAGAACTGCTTTAAAGATCATTCCTGGAAGGCTATAATGGTAACTGCTTGAAAATTACTTTGTCATCTTTGCTCCCACTGCCCTTGTCTAAAAGCTTTATCTTTAAATACTTAAAATCTGAAATAAATTTTTCTGGGCATTGTGACTAGCTCTTTTGGAGTGAGAAAACAGTATCTTCAGACTTTTTCCTGGAAAATGCCAGGTGCCCCCAAATTCTAGTTAACCTACAAGAAGGCTCCAATTAAACTTTAAGCATTCAATTACTTTAAGTACCTCTCTACAAATACCTTTAGCATATGAATGTCTCATGCAGTTAATCAGGGGAACAAGTAGTTGTAAGTTTGTGTATCTTATGTCAACATAGCATAACCTCCCCTAAATATTAAATCTGTTCTTAAGAATATTGCTATCAGGTAAATGTCTAGGTCTAAGTTCAGCAGTGTTCTCCTAAATATAAATAATTTGTTTAAAGATAAGTTAAAAAATTAAAACTAATTTTGAACCTTTTTCCTAAATTTCCAAATCTTTGATTCTCACAAAAATCGAAGTTTCCATACTGCTTTACATTCATGTCTATGGCAGTAGATCCAAGTTGTACTGCATCATTGCCATATCCTAAAAGCACAAACCCTAACAAGTTCAATATGTATTTATAGAAGAAAATACAAGCCTGGTGTCAGAACTCAATAGGACTGAATTTCACATTGTACTACATGGTCTTTGAAAAAACTTTTTTTCTATAAATTGAAGAGACAATTTAGTCTGAATGTTATTCTTAGCAACGACAACAAAAGAATAATAAGGGTTGAAAGAGTCAGAGGTCAACCTGCATTTCTCATGACAGATTTCTAGCTTAAATTTGCGGTGGTCTGGTCCCAGCATGCCACTCCCAAGTCTTGAAGACTGAAAGCTTTGCACGATAAAATGGTTTTGATGTTATAGTGAGCTAAGATGAACAAAAACATTTGATGACACCTTATAAATGCTACATATGGAAGAACTGCTGTGTCAAGATGAATGTACATTGAAGTACATCTTAAGTGGAATATAATAGCGATTAAAAAATTTAGATTAGAAAATACAAGAATATTTCTTTTCTCTTTTGCTGTAACATACAAAGTTAATATTGCTAATCTGTTTTGTCTCTTTGTCTCCTAAATAAACAATTCTAACATAGGCTGTTGTGTTAGGTATGAAAACATACAGTATCCATATTTGTACAGAAATGCACATAGTTTGGTCATTGTAAAGTGCTTTGATTTATGAAAAATATTATGAGCTAAATATTTATGCCTAGCAAGATAGTTTCTTTGCAGAGGAGGGTTTGTGAAGAAATAAAAGGAGGACAACACTTTTTAAAAAGTATTTTTGAGTTGATATTCTGGTATTTTGGATCATGGATTAAAGTAGGTTCTGAGAAAGACTACTCTTTCTTTTCCATCTCGACCAACAATGAATAAATATTTTCCGGCCTCTTCCTTCTCCTTTCCTCCTCATCTTCCAAATTCGGCTCAAAGTCTCTCAATTCCTGAGGGAGGATGTAGAGAGCAGAGAAATTTGTTCTGTGATATTTAATTCTTTAAGCCTTTCCTGAGACAATGCAACTACTTTCAGCCCTTAAATGAGGTTTGCTTGGAAGTGCAAGCTAGTACGTTGCTGATTCTTGATAGACTATAGTAGCTGAACTTAGAATGGCAACATGCTATTGATGGACATATTGAATAGATTGAATATATTCATTGTTCCCACTTGCATCTTGGATGAGAATGCAACTTTTTATTTGTAACTGGTCAGCTGGATCAAAATCTATGTAATCTTTCAGTGTTAATAGCCTTTTGCTTCATCAATTCACAATACAGCCAATTACATTTGTGCTGACAGGTGCTTTAGTTCAGAATCAAAGGCTAAAGGTTAACATAAAGTAGTTTGTTTATGATGGCTCCAAAGCAGTTTTAACAATGAGTTTTAAACATTTGACTCATTTTGCGGCTCATGATTATGACTATTAGTGAGCAGGCAGATGCTGCATCAGAAATAGCCTGTTTAGATCTCTTTGTAACACATAGTTTTGATGTTGAATATAGATGAAATATTAATGTTTTTTTAAAGGTAGTATATGAAAGAGCAATCTAAAGGCAAGACAATATTACCAAGATCCTGTTTCAGTGAAAAATACTGTAAATGCAAACAAAATATCCCCCAATGCACTAGCAAAATTGGTATGCATCTGATAGAGCCAGTGCCATATTAAATCACGTGTGAAAGCATTGCATTATTCAAACCACAGAAACAGGAGGGGGGAAAAAGAAAAAGCCTATTGAAAAGCCATCTGGTAGCTATTGCTGTTGTTAGTGATCCCGTTTACTGACATTTGCATAAAGCTTGTTGATTACTCTTAGGAAGGGCAATATTAGCATAAATGGTTTTTTATCAAGTTAGTCATTTAGGCCCTGATCCGATGCTCAGAAATGCAACGGAGATCCTGTATGTCTATGAAAAGTTTGTTTAAACCAAAAGTGTTTTTTAGTAATAAAAAGATGTACCAGCATAGTTTCTGGAATGCACTTGAAGGACTTTTAGCAATATTTTCATCATGTTGAAAAGGGTATGCACAATAAAACAACTAATTTTGACTTGCTGAAAAAAAGTAGTGTGGCAAGCTGTGTTTCCACTGCATGTTTCTTCAGCTGTTAGGAACACTGATGATAGAGTAACAATATTAATTAATCAAACCTCATACAAATACTTGCATTTAGATTGGATTAGGGAGATATTTTTCATTACTTCTCTCTACTAAATAAGATATTTTCTTTGAAAACAGAATCTACCATTTTTCTGATCTGCATACTTATACATGTTACGTCTATGGTAATGATCTAAACAGGAGCAGGGCATGGGCTGAAACACTGATCTGCAGTATTGCTTAATTTTCCTGCCTTCTTTTTTTGGCATGTCCCAACTAATATTCTACAAAATAGTACTGGAGCATACTGTAGGAAATAATAAAAGAACAGAGATTACTAATGCACTGTATAGGTAGGGCTACCCTATATTGGAAAGAGGATGGCTTAGCTACTTGAATGCAGCAGTATCATGTCAGCGACTCTCAGGGTCAGTTTTATCTATTAATACAGGTATAGGAAAACTTGAGTATTTCCAGTGTTTAAGAAGGGACATTGATTTTTTATTTATTTATCATTAGCAGGCAGCAATTTAATTTTTAATTGTAGTGAAAATGTTGTCCTTTTAAATTTTGCTAGTCAACATGCCTACTTTTCAGATAAAGAAATTCAAATATTCGTTTCAATGAAATTAATCATTTGCCTAATAACTAGAATCTACTTAACACATACTATTTCCAAGCAATTAGGATCTTAGTAGAAATAGTGTTGATTGTTTGATGAAGACTGTCCCATATGGACCTTTTCCAAATGTAAGATGCAGCTGAACATAAAGCTTTTGTATTTTTTAAAAGATACACAATTGCTGGCCTTTGTGACTTCCACTGACATAGAGACATTTATTAAATGTAGCTGAGCACTATTTTTATGTTAAGTGTTGCTCTTCATCAGCTGATAGTGAAAGCTCAGAAGCGTATTCTGAAGTTGAAATCTGTGTAAGTGAAAGGGTAATGCAACAAGGGAGCTCTGTCAGCATGTACTTATATTTCATGGAGTGCCTTTCGTGTGATATGAAATGTGCAATACCTTCTGGCACATTGCCTTCTTTCCTCTCATCATTGACAGACTTCTGTCTCCTCTTCAGCCTGCGATCAGCTGTCCCTTGGGGTGGCTGCCATCTTCGGACCATCCCATAGCTCTTCAGCTAATGCTGTGCAATCCATCTGCAATGCTTTGGGTGTTCCACATATCCAGACCCGCTGGAAACATCAGGTGTCAGACAACAAGGACTCCTTCTATGTCAGCCTCTATCCAGATTTCTCTTCGCTCAGCCGTGCCATCCTTGACCTTGTACAGTTCTTCAAGTGGAAAACAGTTACTGTTGTTTATGATGACAGCACTGGTAAGGCTGAAGCATTAGACTATGTTCAGATATATTCACTTGTAGAAAGAGAGGGTGGAGGGGTGTTACTACTCATATTTTTTAATTTAAGAGAACTAAATTATAACAGTTTCTATCAGCAAGGTAGTATATAACTAATAATGTGCATTTATTAGTATAAGTACTCTCATAGATATGCCTCAGTTGCTGAATTCTGTGTTTGCGCTCACAGCTGTCAATAACATCAGTCACGCTCTATCTGCATTTTCTACAGTGTCTTAATACCTGTGAACAAGTATGTCTTTTAATTTATTTAAAATGTTAATTCTGAAGAAAAATATGGTAACTTCAGAGATGTACTAGTATGCCTGGTGAAACAGAAGACCTAAATTCTAACACTGCTTCTGGCATTAATTAAGGTAGAAAATAGATTCCATATTTGTAATTTCAGTATCTGCTTTTTTTCCGAGAGAATTTTAGAAGGAGCTCTGGTTTTAGCTGCTAGAAATTGAAACCAAAAGAGGTTTGAAGGCTTGTTTTAAAGATAAGTTCCACGAGTTAAAAATTAACTCCTGACTTTCCAGCAGAAACATACCAGTTTGCTACCTTTCCCTTACCTCACCCTAAAATTTGTTTTGTCTTGAAGAAAGCTGACAATGAATAAGGAGACTTAGGTATTCAGTTTATTTAAAAAGCATAAAGAATTATTTCAGGAAATATTCACTTTACATTTTTATTTCTTTCTGGAGTGGCTAGACCCTTCATATTGGTCCCCCCTGCCGATAAACAGCATCTTTTTTTCTTGAAATCTGTTGCTGTCTGAAGAGACAGAAAAAGAATCAGTTTAAAAAGGTAATCCTCTCTTTTGTAGAATTTGCTGTAAGTAAATTGAAATTCTACTTTAAGATTGTCAAGCTCTCTCTATTAGCAGCATCTTGTGTGGATAATTCAAAGAATTCAAAGCAAGACACACTGCTGGGAAGTCCACAGCATCAGCTGCCTTTGAAGTACGAATGGGCGCAACTCTTAGCTGTGAGAAACTGTCAATCTTAAAGAAGTAGAGTTTAAATCGTGTTAGAGTGCAATGGAAAACTGACGTTGATTGGGACGAGGGGTAGGAGGAGAGGAATCTTTTGAAAGGAAGTAATTAATTCAGCTGAGGAAGAGGTATTCTCCTGCCATGGGATGAGATAAACATTCTGATATTCAGATGTGAACCTAGGGCTAAAGCTGAATATGATAGTTACAGGTAATATTTAGAAACTGTGTAGTAAGACTCTGTGCCACTGAAGACAATTCAAATCCATTAAAATGAAAGCAGATGAAAAAACATTTATCACTGTTTATATCTGTTTTTTCCATTTGGCTAAGGATTCCTTAATGTAAGATGGATATCATTCTGATTTCATCCTCCTTTTTTTCTCTTTTAATCGCTCACATTTTACTCTCCTTGATTTTTTTAATTTTTTTTTTTTTTTAGCTTTTAAGAATTTTTTTTTTTTTAATGTGTTCCATTTACTATACAGACAAAAATTTGGAATGAGGCTCTAGAAAAATTTTCTTGCTAGTATGAAGGTAAGTATTGTTTCCTGTGATCATTCTAAATGACAAAATATATTCCTTTTAACTAGAATTTCCAAATGGAAAAAAAAAATAAAAAAAACTTCCACTCTACCACCTCCCCCCCACCAAAAAAAAAAAAAAAAAATACCAGAAAACCACCAAAACCTAGCAGGACGTAATGAGAGGTTAGTTAGCTTTGGGGTTTTTTTCCTTAAAGTAATTTATGGTCTTTTTGTTAATTAAATACCACTAAACTGTCCCTGGATTCTAATTAAGTCCTTTCAGATTTACAGATCTGTTATAGTCAATTGTCTTTAAGAAAGAAAAGTGGGAAAATGGCAGTATGCTCATCAGCTGCATGTCCTAGTATCTTTAACTGGTCTTGAAACAGTAACATAATTTCAAGCACATATTCTAATCTCTGTGTTAAAGAAAGCAGACTAGATAAATTCTAAATAAGTTTGTAATGTTACAGAACTCCTAAACAAAGAAACATGATCAGTTAGATGCTTTGGCCTTTAAATTATAATGGCAGTTATATTGCCAACTAATGCTTTATACAGATCAAGTTGATATAAACAGGGCTCTGAGTTTTTTTTTCTTAATTAACATTTGTTTTGGTCTTGGGTGAATGAGTGTAAACACCAAAAATCTGTTGCATCTGTGAACAGAAGCCAAAGTAAAAGCTGGAAAAAATTACTTCAGAAATAAAAATGTTTTGTGCTGGTTTTCTGTATTCAAATGAAGAAAAAAGAAAGATGGCATTTGGTTGATATTTTTACTGTAGTACACAGATAGCATTAATTCGTAAATAAAACTACAGTTTCTTTCTTTGGACCAGTATTAAAATTCCCAGCATTTTTTTGCTGTATTTTGTGTTGTTGTGGCCTAACCTTGAGTATAGAATGCAGTTCCAAATCCTGCAATTAAAAAAGAATATTAAGGAACTTGAATGTGTCTGGAGGAGGGCAACAAAGCTGGTGAAAGTCTGGAAGGCATGATGAGCAGCTGAGGACTCTGAGTTTGTCTAGTTTGGAGAGAAGGAAGCTGAGGCATGACTTCATTGTTCTCTACAGCTTCCTGAGGAGGGGAAGTGGAGAAGGAAGTGCTGAGCTCTTCTCCCTTGTATTCAGTGATAGAACGCATAGGAATGGTGCAAAGCTGCATCAGGGAGGTTCAGACTTGACATTAGGAAGCATTTCTGTACCAAGACACTGGAACCTTCCTGTAGAGGTGGTTGGTGCCCCAAGCCTGTCAGTATTTAAAAGGCATTTGGACAATGCTGTTAAAAATATGCTTTAACTCTTGGTTGGCCTTGCATTGGTCAGGCAGTTGGACTAGATGATTGTTGTAGGTCTCTTCCAACTAAGCTATTCTATATTCCACATATGTTATTGTTATTTCTAAATGTCTTACATCTTGTTGTTTAGCATGTGTGTGTGGGTTTTCCTCCCCTTCATTTTATCCTGTACTACTACTACTACAACAAAAAAGGATACTCATCTTTGCAGTTAATGTAAATTTACACGAAGAGGAATTAAATATCTGGGGAGTGAAGTGGATTTGGGGTGATGGCAGATGGACAGTAATGCTAGAAGATGAAGGAAAAACCCTAAGTGATTCAAAGGCTAGGGAGAAAAATCTTTTTAAGGAGAACATGCATAATGCACTATGAAGATGAGAAAAGGTGATGAAGAAACTTAAGACAATAGGCAACTGAGAAGGACAATAGAAATTGAGATGGTCTGAAAAGGCCTGCTCTTCTTTTCTGTAAATGAATTAAGCAAAATCTTAATTTATGTGAAAAGCTGTTCTTGTTTATAAAGACATCTGTATCACTTTCTGGAACTGTTCAAAAAAACATGTTCAGAAAACTGAATACTAGTCTTTCAAACCAAGCATATCATTAATAAAGCTACATGTGTAAAAAAATGTCTAATGTTGCTGGAAACTAGAAAAACACGGCAGATCTCATATAGAAGGCTTAATGTTTCCTTGATGTTCAGCATTTTCGTGTGTTAAACATTTTCACACACTAGGTGCAAAGGAGTAAGTTGAGGGAAGGGATAGATAGCTCTCTACTTTTTTTCTGCTCTTTTTAAAATTTCCCTTTTGGTACTCTATGCTGCAGCTGATAAGTACTCCAATAATATGAAAAAAAATTTCTTCATCTTGTTATGGTGATATGCAGGATCAAATCCTTTCCATGAACTGAAGGTCTTTTGTGAATTTAAGTAGCACGTTGATTCCCTCTTGTGGATCTGTGTGGGATGGGGTAAAGGGCTTTTTTTCACTGCAGTACTCAAAAGCCATTAAAAATTAGAAAAGAATTTTTACTGGAAATAGGCTAAATTGGGATTGAAACTAACTATATAAAATGCTCGCACCCATGCTCTGACATTCTCACTTAGCTTATTTAAGGAAAACAATAAAGCTGATTAATGCCTTGCACTTCAATTACAGCTGGTAATGCTGAAACAGCAGTAAAATGGATTTAAACATTCAAATGCTAAAACTCAAGACACAGAAAAGTTAAGTGATATGCCACGGTATCAGAATGGAAATCTATGTGAGAGAGGTTGTGGAATCTACCCCTCTGGAGACCTTCAAAACCTGCCTGGACACGTTCCTGTGTAACCTGCTTTAGGTGGTCCTGCCTTGGCTGCCTAGTCCACATTGGAGTTGGACTAGGTGATCTCCAGAGGTCCCTTCCAACCCTAATGATTCTGTGATTCTGAGAGTTAAACCTGGATCCCAAGTTTTCTTTTTCAAAGGTGTTTGTTCTTTTTTTTTGGGTGAGGGTTTTTTGGTTTGGTTTTGGTTTTGGTTTTGGTTTTTTTTTTTAAACCTATGTTAATCTCTCCTATACATGGCATTTTAGTAACCTTCACTTCAATAGTAATTATGAATATCATTTTAAACACTTTTTCTGTACTAAGTAATGGTTTCAAAATGGATTTTTTTTCCCTAAAAGAAGTTTGTCTTTAGTCTAGACACTTTCATATATCAATAATGAGATTTGTATTTCATATCCATATACATACATGCACACACGTATCTAGTTAAAAACTTGGTTCTGCCTTTCTTTGATTTGGAAAGGAGCATTTTTATTAGTTTATAATATTACTGTGCTCCAAGTCCTCCTGAAGTACAGAATTGGTTATATCAACAGCATTCTGTGGAAGCGCAGGTCAAAGAGCAAAAGATAAGTCCCCTCAGTCTGGTGACACATACTCATACCATTTGTATGACCAATGTTGATCCTAGCTTTTCCAATGAAGTAGCTTGTTTGTTGAGCTGACATTGACCAAAAATGGGTAAAACTGCTGGAGATAAAGGTGAAAGGTTTTGAGTCGGGTCCATATTTCCATGTAGAAAGTAAGGATCACCTGAAGTTTGGGGGCTGGCCTTTCTCTCCTAATGTGTCCTATGGCACTAGTTACTATACCTGAGCATGC